CTCCCCGCCGCCCCCCTCGGGCTGGGGGCGCCCCTCTCCCTGCGCCCAAGGACGACTGGGCCGCCGCGTATGGCCCGGGCCCTGGGGCCCCGGCCGCCAACCCAGCCCCGCTGGCATTCGGGCCCCCTGCGGACTTTAGCCCGGTCCCTGCGCCCCCTGGGCCTGGCCCGGGCCTCCTGGCGCAGCCCCTTGGCGGCCCGGGGGCGCCGTCCTCGCCTGGAGCGCAGAGGCGGACGCCCTACGAGTGGATGCGGCGCAGCGTGGCGGCCGGAGGCGGCGGTGGCAGCGGTAAGGACCCCTCCCTCGCCGTACGCTAGGACAGGTGCTCGCAGCAGCCCGGCGCCCTCTGTCTGACCTCTGCCCTGGCCCTGCCTGGGTTCCCTGGGGCTGTGGCCCTGCTGGCCAAGCTCTGGAGCTGGGCAGGTCTCTCAGCTTCCCCCGTGAACCTCAGCCCTTCCAGGCGTGGGAAGTGCAGCCTACCCTAGCACCCTTTCTGTGCAGGTTGCGACACTGAGACCTCCGCACCGTGGGGGTCTGTTCCTTGTGGTTGCCCAGCTAGCAAGAACTAGAACACAGACTGTGCGCCACCCCTGGCCCTGGGGGTCTTCAGTCATTCCATCCACCCATATTACTGCAGGCAGAGGTGGCAACCCGCCCCTCAAGGGATGGCAACTGCGTGGACTCGGCAGGTCGCTTTCCCTCCAGGTCTCAGTCTCCCCATCTTACAGTGAGAGATGGGTGGTCACATCCTACGGACTGCAAAGAAGCCCTCTTTGGGTAGATTCGTCAGGGGGTCCCCACCTTCCCTCCCCAGGGCCCTCCCTGAACTCTTGACCCTGGGGGAGGGGAAGCAGGAGCAGTTGGGAAGGTGGCCACTGTTTGGCTCCGGAGGAGCCTGCGAACAGCCTGCCCCCAGGCCTCTCTGATCCACCCTCTTCAAAGGCAGCCGAGGGGGCAGGACAAAGGGCCGGCTGGATGAGGGGCAGCCTGACCTCCTTTATGGGTTCCCCCTTTTGTCATGTAACAGGCTGCGCCTGGCTCGGTAGTGACTCCTGTTGGCTGGAAAGTGAACAGGACTCCCCATTGTCCCGACTGTGTCCGGCCTGTCCTGACAAAGGCCACCTGGCCTTGGGGGCGGGAAGCTGGCCTGCCCACCCTTTGATGTCTGCTCCTCCGCCCCTTCCCCACCTTCTCTCTCTTCACTGTCTCCCAACTCACCCAGCTTCCCCAGGCAGATGCTGGGGGGGCTTGATCAGTGACTGCAGGCTCTGGCTAGATCTGACCTCGGTCCTGGAAGTCCTGGGGACACAGAGACACCCATCTGCCTCCAGGGAGAGACAGGGCACCAGGTGCTACCACACGTGACCTTGATTAAATAATAACAGCTAACATGATGGAACACTTACTAATGAACCAGGCACGAACCCAGGATCTTGTATGTGTTACCTCACTTCACATTATAGTCTATACTGTTATCGCCCTGGTTTTTACTATTTTGTTTTTCTAAAAAAAAAAAAATAGTTTATTTAATTTTATTTATTATCATTATTATTATTATTTTAATTTGACCAGAGAGAGACAAGGGAAGTGAGAAAACAAGCCACCAGATTTGGGATTTGAATCACAGTCAGCCATGTGGGAGTTCAATGCCTTAACTACCATGCCACCTGCCCGTCCCATCAC